TGGGAGTTTGGGGATTGAGGAGGGAACATGAAGTGTTCTAAATAAATGAATTTATTTTTCCTAGTTTTTAGCACTATGGAGACCTAAGAGAGTTGAAGGTCATGCAAATATCAAGTACAGCAGAAAAAAAAGCTATCTCCCTTCTTAAATGGAAAGGCAGACCCTTTTAAAATGATTTGAGAGATAAGGCAGAAAGGATGAGGTGGCAGAGATGTAGTTTGTGAGATCTGGAAGCAATGAACAGCTAGAGGTTCTTGTACCTGGCCTCTTACAGAGACCCAGAGAGAAGGGCTACTTGGTGGGACAAGACTGAAAAGACTGCAATGGGCCACTGGAGAGAGCCCAGGAGAGATTCACTGACCAGACTGACATCTCCTATATATCAGTGACCAGGGTCTGGCCAGGTTGATACTGACGGACACAGGTAGCATTCCTCCATCTTCCCTACTAGAGAAAACAAACAATCTAGTGAAAGGGAAGAACTTGCATTGACTAAAGAACAGGACATTAAAACAGGAATTTCAATGGTGCTGAAGCATATATTTATTGAACAGCTTGATTTGTGGAATATAAAGGATGTAGTCTCTGGCACATGGTAGAAAACCAACTGACAACTGTGTCTATTTCTGCTTACACATATTTTATGTGGCTGCTCAATAAGTTAATATTAACTTTTATTTACACAATGGTCATACCAGTTTGGTTATGAAGGTGGAGGTGTGGAATCCACCGTGAGTACTCTGCAGACAGGGCTGATGTTGACTCACCCATAGGAGGGAAGAACAATCAGAGGTGTAGTGAGGAGACAAATACTGAATGGTTAAAATCACTAGGGCTGTGAATACTGAACAGAGGAAGGCTGAGGGGGAAGATGATGGCTGTCTCTAGATATCTGAAAGACTTACTGTGGAAGATAGAATGTCCTTGTTCTTAATTGGGATACTGACGACATGAATGTTTGGTTTAATCCTCAGAAAGAGGAAGTTTCTCATAGTTGAGTGTTCATCAATGTCAAGGAATTCAAACAGATGCCCAATGTTCGTTTTATCTGGAATGTGCTCAGAAGATTCCTGCATGCGAAGGAATGTGGTCCTGGCACTTTTAGTTTTAGAATGATATGAAACGTGGCAACTGATAGTACCAAATTCCAGGAAGTATAATCAGCGTTGTATGTTCTTCAGTCACTGAGTCTGTCTAAAAGCTGAATTAAAATGACATATTATAAGGAGTATTATTCTTATTTTGTAAGTCAGGCTGAATACACATGATAAACTATCAGAGTTCATAGTGCCTGGTAAGTGAAAGGACTATGTTTTGAACTCCATTTTAGTACCATAAAATGGTACCATTTTAGTACCATAAAATGAAATTCAAAACATGATCCTTTCACTTAGGCAACTGGGATGATCACAAGTTTAAGCTCTTTCAAAGACAATGAACAAAAGTTCAAGGACAGAACTGTCAAAATATACCAGTGTTACTAATATACTGACAAATGACAGATATAGGCCCATTGAAATATTTTTAGCTGTGATTCATATGGTTACATAGAAACATATACACATAAATTGTGCAAATATATCCTGTCTTCTAAAGGAATGTGAATTTGCTTTGGTTAATGTGGTAATTAATTGTACATGTTAATTTGGCCCAGCCCTGGTGCTCAGATGTTTGGTCAGACATTATAGATCTTTCTATGAAGGTGTCTTGGGATAGGATTAATATTGAAATTGGTTGGCTTTGCATAGTGTCCTACAGGTTCATGAGTCTTGTCCAAGTGACAGAATTTCTGCCAAATCTGGTGATATATATGTATAATTTCAGCAATCTGGGATGGTCACACGTTTAAGCCCAGCCTGGGGAATTTAGTAACTTGGCATGACCCTGGCTCAACATATTTTTTTTTTTTAAAGGGGGCATTTAGCTCACTGTGAAAGCCTCGAGTTCAATCCCCATACAACTCTCTCTCTTTGTCTCTCTCTCTCTCTCTCCCCCTAGTATTCTCTTCTTCCATAAGGCTAAATACCATTCCTTTGTGTGTATATGCTACATTTTCTTTATCCCCTCATCTATTAATTAACAAACCAAAAAAATTCCACGTGATTTTATGTGTGGAACATAAAACGTGTGAACTCAGAATGGAAGTTACCATAGGTTGGGAGTCCAGTGGAATAGAAAGATTTTGGTTAAAAGGATACTAATTAAATATGAGGAATACATTTTTTGAAGTCATAGTGACTAATAATGTCAAGTGAAATAAGTCAGACACACAATAAAAATAATTTATTAAATATTGGATGGTTCTCTTATGAGAAACACACACACACACATATATATACATATATGCATGTATTTGTATGGCAAAATAGAAGACAGATAATTGGAAGCAGGGAAATCTTTTTCAAACAGATGAGAACAGAAGGTGCAGGGAGAGGAGGGATAGGGAATAGAAAATAAAAGAACTGAAGGGGAAAACGATGTTGAAAACAGAGCTGTTGGAAACGGGAAGGATATTGAGAGTTGGAATGAGCAGGGAGAAAGTAGAGGGCTCAGGGATGAAAAAGAATTAAGGTGTGTGGGGCACATGTACCAAGTCCTCACTATAAATGTAATCATTATGTACTGTACGTTTTTTAGCTTGATTTGGTTATTCCAGATGGTATACACACATCAAAATATATTGTAACTGATAACAACTTATATATAATCTGTTAATTAAAAATAAAAAGTAAATTAGAAATAATCTTAATAAACCTATTTTATAAATAAGTGCACTCTGTACTTTTTAGATTGCCTTTTATTCAGTGGACAAGCCTCAAGCGGTCCCATGAATGCCTAACAGAATAAAGCCTGGCAAAAGCAGGCTGCCTTCCCCTTCATAACGCAGCTCTTCCCTAGGTCTCCAACTTGCTAGCTACTTACAGCTTTTGGACTTATGCTCCCCACTTGCGGGTGTCAATGCCTTCAGATAAATTTCTCTATAAACCTGTGCACAACCAGTCCGCTCTGCTTTTCTGGAAGGCAATGACTAACGCACTTGTTTGTTTGTTTTTGCTTTGAGGCTCATGGTTCCTTTTCCTTTAAAATACAGAGTGAAGCAATTACCTACGGACTTAGAAGCAGCCAAAGCTTCAATGAGACCACACCCTGAACCGCTATTTGGATTCATTCACCTTAGGACAGGCGTTAAGTTGCACCCAGATCTCCAACCTCAGGACTGTGATATAATGTTGCTTCGATAAATTCTACGAGTGGAATTTAAGAAACTTCCTTGGCACAAACAGGTGTATCTGAACTGGGACTCTGGGTGCCTGTAGCCAAACACCTGACTGGTTTATAAGTAGTCTATGCAGACCTTGCACCTCTGAATTTCATTTCCCTACCCATGATACCAGAAAGCCTAGAAGAACAACTTTAGCCTCTCTTAAATGTTATAACTCAGCGTCTCTTATTAGTCCTGTCATTTATTCATTAAGACAAATGCTAATAAAAGTTACAAGTAGAACACACCCGAAGCATCAGGCCTCTGGATTTGATGGCCGCAGGCCAGCTTCCTTTCTGCCTGTAGCTGTCTGAACTAGTCCTGCTCTACCTCTTTCCCCCACCCAGTAGTCCTCTATCAGTGGCCAATCAAGGTGAAATCATTTTTGCAGCGCTCTGAGTGCAATGCTCACAATATAAACTAAATTGTTCGGGTTGGCGATGTGTATTTCGCTCTGGCATTGAGTTTCGCCCCTCACATTTTGTGAATCAACTCTGACAATACACAGTGGAAAGGGAGCCTGAGCCCTGTCCCTCCTTAGGTCCAGGGAGGCGTGTCCATGTCTCTTTGCCAAGTCCCTGCTCTGTAGGAGCAATGCAGAGCAAGCAGGGAATAGCTGGATTTGCACTAGCACGTCAGCCCCACCAAAAACTGTCGCGTATCTTCTCGACCCTCTGCTACCATCCCTTCATCAGCATAAGAAAGGGAGAGGGGAGGGAGGAAAGGCACAAGAAGGCTGGGGAGACAAGAGAGGTCTCAAAGCAAACCGGACAGGACAGAAAAGTAAAGCCATGGCACGAGCTTGGCGGAGGGGCCCGAGCAGGGACTGTGGCGGCGGCGATCGCGCAGTCGCCGCGGGCCGGAGACTCGGCTGGCCGGTGCGCGCCCACTCTCCGAGCTTCTCCCCTTCGCCCCGGGGTCGGCTCTGGCCCCGGGCTCCCGGCGAGCTCCGGCTCTGCCCGGCCCCCTCCCCGCCGGGAGCTGCGCCCAGCTCCGCGCGATCTCCCTCTCCCGCCGCCCCGCCACTTTCCCCTCTCTGCCCGCGCCCGGCGCCCGTCCCGCCCCGCGGGGCCACTTCTCCCTTTCGGTCCTCGGAGTGCCGCCCGGGTGTGGCAGCCGCGCTGTGGGGCCAGCGCGTGCCGCGCAGAGCGGGGACCGGGCCGCCCGCGGCCGCCGCACCTGAGCCCCCGGCTCGGCCGCGCCGGGCTCGGAGTCCCGAAGGGGACACACGAGCGTCCGAGGGAGCCGGCGAGTCCCGCCGCAGACGGAGGGGGCGACTCCTCCGCCCCGCGCCGGCTCCCCGAACTTTTCCGCCACCCGCCGGGGGAACCTGCGGCCCGGCCCGGGCCCTGGCGCACCGGCCCCGGCGCCCGGGGTCCACTTCGCGCCGCCCCGAGCGCGGGGAGGAGCGGCTGCCGGGCAAGCCCGGGAACTCCGGGCGAGGGCGTGACCGGGGCCCGGGGCGGCGGAGCGGCGGGCGGCGGACGGCGGAGCGGGGCGCGGAGGAGAGCGCACGCCCCCCGGGCCGCGGCGCGCCGAGGCCGGCGTGTAAGTCCGCCCGCCCCGCCCCTCGCCGCGGGCCCCTGCGCGGAGCGGACCGCCGCCGCCCGGCAGAGCAAACCGGTTTGTCTTCGCTTCGCCCCTCGAGGCGCCCGGGAGTACTGCCAGTCGGGCTGTGACATGCGTGCGCCGCGGTCTCTCTTTTCCCCCGGCGAGAGGTGAACCTCACTTTGGGGCGGTGTAGAGCAGTCTAAAAAAAAAAAAAGGGCAGGGCTTGGAGAATGGGGAAAACCTGTTTTCGATTCCGATGAAATAAGGAGTAAGAGGAATCTCTGCTCAGTCCAGGACGCTGGCCTGGCCAAAGGAGCGCTCTCCGGGATCAACACCTTGGAAGGTACTGGTATGTGGAGAAAATGTTGACTTTGCACATTGTCCCCGTAGTCTGTGGATCGGGAGTTATTTGAATGGTGCTTTTTTCTTTTTCTTTTTTTAACAATCCACCCTCTTTAAGAACACGGAAAGCGATCTCAGTGTACTTGGTAGGCGAAAGTAATTAAGGAATATGTCGTGTGATGCCGTCTGGGGTCTGCCTGTGGGAGTAAAAGGAGAGAGAGGGAAGGGCGGGCTGCAAGGGTTACAGAAACCCAGAATGTTTTGCTGTGCAAAACTGCCATCCAGGGGGTGACGTGCCTCACAGTGACCCCGCGAAAGGTGGCTGAGCACCGCCTGGGCTTCCAGAATGGAAAAAGGAAGATTGTTGTCAGAAGAGCCAAGGGTATTTTTGTGGCCAACTAAGTAGTCGCTTTTTCTTGTAATGTATAATTTTCTCTCTACAGTTTTATTTATTCTTGGGCAGACACACTGACAGATATTTTACCCACTTCCACTACTTAAGGTACAAGTTTTTAGAAACTGATACGGACTCCTCTCCCCTAAGTGCTTGTTTCCATTTGAATTTCCTCTTTTAGTTTAATAAGTTGGGAAAAGACCTGCCCCATAAGGCCTTTTTAAAAAAAGAAAAAGAAAATCTTTCCTTTCACTGTCCAACGCCTCCACCCCATACACACATTAACCTAAGAGAAAAACATGCACAGGAGCCCAGGATCCCACAGCGCTCTTCGTGTGTAGTGCAATAAGAAATGAACTACTTTATTTTTATTACAGTTATTCTGCACCTGTGACTTTTAAAGTTTCATTTATGCCAATGAAAGCGAGGTATAACTGGAGAGAATTTATTTTGAGTTGCAGCCAATGGTCTAATAGAAGACTTGTTCTCATATATGGGCAACATATTTGAATGAATGAATTTGTTTTCAACGTCTATTTGTCCTAAAAATAAACTAGGAATTTTAACTGCCCATCTTTATCCAGGTTCATCCACGCTTTGTTAGGTATTGACATCTCATGGGGAAAAGGCTTATTGCACAATTTAAAAAATGTGAACATCATTTTTAAAAATGAGAGATGTGAGACTGATCAGAGGGTAATGTAAAACAAGCTCTGACAATGAAATTGTTTTATACGCCTTTTGAATTCTGTATGGTTATAAAAGTATGTCTTTGTAAAATCTGACTGTTTAGCTGCATAGGGTTTAGTATCTTGAATTTGTGTTTCTTTATTGGACTGCTTTGATTGAAAGGTTTTCCATGTCTTTCCAGATTATAACTGGTTTTTTTTTTCATTTTGTTTTTCGTGTCCATATAGAATAGATTAAGATGTTTTGACTCTTTTTAGATATCATGTTAAAATATATGGAAATAATGCCAATTTTTCCATGGTAATTATTCCTGCTGTTTTGTTGAAAATTGATAGCACAGGGAACTAAACTATATTATCTTCTTTTATTTTAATACACTCAAGTACATGAACTGTTTTGCCTATTCCTGATGGGAAAACAATATTCATATATTGTTATGCTCGATTCCTGAAATTCTAGACTTTATAAATATATTTAGGAGTTGTAGTAACCTCATGTTTCTCATGCTTTAAGAAATTTAATAGAGTTAGCAAGACTTACATTATTAACTGGTTTCAAGCTGTATGAAGTCACTGTTCCCTTTACGGCTTATATAAATTACATGACATTGTGCTTTTCCAACGTGAATGGTGAATGAGGCCATTGTCTGTTGGCTTATGGGAAATATTAGAAGCCTCTAGTTTTTCTGCCTAGCGTCTCTCTGATTTCTGAAAATAATGACTTGAGAGAGACTCCAATTATATATTAAAAATAAACTGAGAACTGCTTCTTTAAACAGGACCATTTTTATAATTGCCTGTATGTTTTATAGAGTTTACGTTTCTGAAGAGTTGATTAAAAATTTCTAGTGACTAGATTTCAGACTAAATAGAAAAAAACTTCCACATGTGTGGTATACATGGACAAAAAGTCTATCTTTGCATTTTCATTTCTAATTTGATGACCTCATTACATTATCTACATATCAGGATACTCAGATGTATACTGATTGACCAGGATGATAACATTTAAGGCCTCTATCTTTCATAACTAAATGCCTGTAGAAGCTCTGTGTGGCAACCTGAGTATCATCTTACTTTCCTCTTAAGCATTACTCACAATTGAATTATTTGGAATACCTTAAAATCTTCCAGGTTAATCTATTTAAAAAGAACGAATATGACAAAGGCATATTTAGTTTACAGTTGGTTGAAAAGATCACAAATCGGTAAGAAAAATGTTTTGTTATAATAGAAAAGGATGCAAAACGACTTGAACATGCCAATCCAAATAAAGGAAATCCAAATAAGATAAAGCTGACAATGATTAAAGCAATAATACTCAACAGTGATGACAGTATCAGTAAGTGAAAACACTGAAATATTTCAGTGTAAATTGTGTGTTCAGTGTATTTAGAAATAATTTTGAGCCTTCAAAAACTGAGAGAATAAAAAAGTACAAAGAACGCTTATTTTTCCTTCACCCAGAATCACCTATTATAAATATTGACCCCTTTTTTTTCAAATCATTCCCCTTTCTCTACAGTACCCACCCACCATCTACCCACACACAGAAGTATTTTTCTGCATCATCTGAGAGTAAACTGTGTATATCAGAGCTTCAGTGTTTACATTTTTAATTGAAAATTTTAAGATATTTGTATTTCTGAATATAGTTATGAAAATACATAAAGATGCTGTATGCCCCTTACCCAATTCCTCCACTGGGAACATTTTGTAAAAATGTATGAAATAAAAACCAGAAAGTTGATACCATCTACTTTGCCCCCCAACTTCCCCAGATTTACTGTGATATGAACAGTTGTACATGTTTCTGATCAAATAAGGTTTAAGATGTGAAATCTTAATTTTAATAACAAATCAGCCTTTTAAAGTTGGAGCAAACTCAATACAAGGACTTAATTTAAGTGATGACTTAATTTAAGCGTTTTCTTTTTTTCCTCTCTCTTTTTTAAAAACATTGTGTAGGCTCAGGAACATGATTATTATTTTTTTAAAATTTTTGTCTTTTTCCTTTTTATCGGTACTGGGGATCGAATTCACGACTGCCTGCTTGCAAGGCAGGTGCTTATGCCACTGAGCTAAATCCCCAACCCTAGGAACATGATTATTAACCAGACGAAGAAATACTAGTATGAGCAGACTTGAATAAATGAAATTACTGTTCTTTTTACTCTGAAAGAATAAGGTATTTTCTTTGCCATTCCCCAAGTTCTTTTATGAAAAGATTGGTCAAAGAATCATACTTGGGACTTGGGCAAGGACATGAATTCTGAGTATTTCTGATATTAATGAATTAGTACCATATCATTTTCTCCACTAATTTCAAAATATTTTCATTAATTTCTCTTTAAACTGTGACTTTGAGGAAAGCCTAGGGAGTAGAGAGAAGAAAGTAGCACTTTTTTTTAGGTTGTTTCAGTGATGTGTTTGGATAAAACCATGCCTGCCAGGGACAATATCCATGATAAAGCAATCTAGAAAGGTTACTACATTCTAAAGCTTTCTGTGCAGTAGTATCAGGTTGGTTCTCAAAAAGGACTGATTGAAAGTGAGGTGACACAATATGATCTTGGGCAAATTGTTTAATAGTCACCTGTGAAGTGATGGATTTTATTGCATGATTGTTAAAGCCATTTCAGATCATGCAAATCTATGACTTATTTTTAATTGAAAAACGTTCCAGCTCTCATCAATAGAACTTTGAGACCACATCAAAATGGCACCACACTGTAGTGCTTTTCCTAATCCCTCCTTAGAACCTTAGTAACCCTGTTTGGTATTTTCCGCTCTTCTGAGAAAGTTGTTTAAATCTCAGGAATGTGTCTTTACTAAGTGATCCCCTGAGAAGTGCTTTTCTTCCTCTGTTCTATTCTTAATTTATTTGTTTCTGTTCTTCAGTAAACAGTAAAGTGGATGAAAGTTGGCGTGTCACATGGCTTATGTTTGGTTACAAGGGCTTACACTGCCCTGGGCTCCTTTTCTGTCTGAAATGATCGAATCTAGAGCCCTGGAATGCATCAAGCTGTGGTCATCATTTGCAGCTATTTCCTGATAAGACAGCAGGCAGCTTGGTAAAACAACTTTGGGATTGGATATGGGATCCCAAAATGTCATCAACTTTTATAGCAAAGAAGCTGCAGGAGTGTGATGAAGAAATGGTGCAGGATGCACCCACACAAAGAAGTGTGATCGCTTTATAAGCCTGACCTTAAGAGCACATATTCATAAAAGAAAATCATCATGTGCCATAAGAAAAAAGAAGCTGAAAGTTCACTTGGGCTGAAGTTTCCTTCAGTTAGCATCTGTAAGGCTGGAGGCCAGGTTTTATTAATCTCCCCTTTTACTTTACCTGGCCTCTGTCTCTTCTGTGGCTAAAATTAGATTAAGCTTTGTTTTGTCCCTCCATCTCTAAACTTGTGTGAGTATATAATTGTTCTTTTGTGTTAGTAACACACTCATTTGTCCCCAACATGAACGGAGAACACCTCATTCATCCAGCATCACTAGGAAATAGGCCCATTCTTCAAAATAAGTGAACTTTCTAGGTGAGAATTTGTAACTTCCCCCTGCAAAAGCCCACATTAAATGCCATGAATGGTTACCTCTAGATGTGTTCATTGGATAATAACTTATCTACAAAAAAGAAAAAGACTTAGACTTCAAGTACCTGTATACTAAACCACACAGTTAACAGAGGAACCAGTATGTAAGTCTCTGCCCTTCTAGAATCCATATCCATCATTTTTAATCATTTATTTACTAACATGTTTCCCATAATCAGTAGGTGCTTTTAACTTCAAATATTTTAGATGAATGTATTGAAAGAAAAGTACCTGCGTACAAAAAAGATACTCTTTAGCCTGATACTAGTTTAGAATTTTCAACAGGAGAGTTGCCTGTTGCTGGAACTTATCGCATGGTGAATAAAAAGTAAAACATGACCTTCAGACACTACTTAGAATCTCTGTGTTCAAAACTGATTATGAGTAGCTTATTTCATTTTTGTTCCCAGGCAGTCTCAGAAGTGGCCATAAAGTCAATTGGTTGGTGTTGGCATATAGCATTAAGCCTATTGTTCATTCTTGTTTAAGTCTCTCCACCATGGACAGAGTAACCACTCTTGTATTAGAAAGTCTGGGATGACAGTAACAATAGCAACTGACATATATTGAACACTTTCTGAATGTCAGGTACTGTTCTTAAAAAGCCATCATCTTATTTGAACTCTGGAGGCTAGCAACACTGCAGTTCCTTATTTTATAGCTGAGCGATAGGTAACACAATGTGATCAAATGAATTTCCTGAGTTGCTTAGTTCCTAAGTAAAAACCCGGGTCTGTCTGATCAATGCTTGTCCTCTTTACTAGGAAGTAGTCTGTCATGGCTAAAGAATGATTCAGAATGCAGTCATGAGCAAGTGCAGGAGTCACTGATGTCCACCTTGTTCATTTTCGTATTTCCTTTCCTGCTTTTCTGGTTTTGCATTTATCACTCCACATTTATCCAAGTACATAAACTTTAGATTTTACAAAAGACATGACTGTGATTAATTGCCCTTGATTTTAACTTGAAATGACTCTGAATTACCATTGCAGGCCAGGTAACTTTACGAGATCTGGAGCTCTCACCCAGCTTCGCTGTGCACTGCCTCAAGCTTCTGGTGCTTGCCGACCCATTTTTGGTCCTTTAGGCTACTAGCTTTTATCCTTGCTGTTTTCTTTGTAGGCTTGCTTCTTTTGAGGATGCTGGCTCAATTAAATATGTTAGACTGTTTGGAGCCAAGAAATATGGATGTTCTTTTCTAAATGTTAAATGTAATTTTCAGTTTAAAGATGAGATCGTTGTACCCAAGAATTACTTCAAAGTTTTTAAAGTCCCTCCACCAATAGCATTCATTGGCTTCCTTTACTTCTTGTTCAGTGGCCATTTAAAGACATCAGTAAAGGTTTCAGCATTTTTTTGGAATGTCAGTACTTCAATGCTTCATGTTACTGAAAGAACAGAGCTTCAAAACATATACATGTATCTTCAGTACTCCCAAATGCTGTAAAATGATAACATTTTTTAAGTCTACATTTCTGAGAAATTACTTTGGAGACTGACATACGCATCCTGTGGCTTCCCAGATGGACGTGTTCCTTGTGCGGTCAAAGCAGAAATTGCTTGATTTTTAAAGAAATGTTTTTTGATGAGCTGTCTGTATATCTATCCATTTCATGGAGGACCCCCCTGTTAAGTATATCCTGATAAGCAAGGTGTCACCAAGAAGCAAATAAATCGCATGCATTTGTTTTTCTTTTCCCAATTAGCTGAGGGGATGATTAGGTCATCATTTTTTCTTAGTCTCCACGCTCAGCTGGAGCTGGAGCTCCGTCAGTGGTAGGGCACCTGTCTAGCCAGCAAGCCCTAGGTTCCATGTGCAGTACTACAAGAAACAAAAGGCAGACGGAGGTCTTTGTTTTCTAGTCCCTGCTACGAACCTACACTTTTGCATTGTATTTGTCATCATGCTTTACTAAACACTGAACATACTGATTTTCAGTTTTTTTCCTTTCAGGACGTTTTATTCTGGTAGAATGTGGAGCTGCCATTGGAAATGGAAGCCACGCGCCCTTCTCTTCTTATTTGTTCTGTGTCTCATGTGCGTTCCTCTCTCAGGTAAGAGTCTTTTTCTTTGAAACCCTAAATACAATAATGATTGCATTGTCTTCAATGCACATGTGCTACTTGTTTAAGTCACCTTAACTTTCTGTCTTTTTCTATTTCTGTCCTACATTTATCTATCTTTGATCCCTTCTCTCTTTGAATTCTGCATGAATGGTACTTTGATCATTATTTAACTTTCTTAGGAGTTTATTTCTTTAATCTTTGGTGTCTTTCTTCTAATGTTTTTATTTATTTAGCCCATATTGAGTGATGAGATAACTACCTAACTGACATTGAAAAAGTACTAGCTGTTTCCTCTACTCTTCAATAAATAAATACACAGCACTTAGGGCTCTTTTCATATAATTATTTATGGGAAATATAGACTGCTATTTCATGTGTCCTGATGTTGTGACCTTCTTGCAAAATGAAATAGGAATTTGAAATTATGCTGTTTAGATTATGCAGTTTATTTAGTTTATGTATGTTTAAGTATGGAAAATTTAATTTTTAATTATAACATCTTTGAAATTAAAATGTGTTTTGTAATTCCTTTTTTTTGATATTTGAAATAAAATCTCTTGGTTGGAGAGAAGCAAATTTTCTCTAAACATGATTTTGTAAATAAACTAGTGAGACTGAGGAAGGGGCTTAATGTTTAAAAGAAATGCTTCTTCCTTTGGTTTTGTCACTGCAAAAACTGCATTTCTCTTAAGGCTTCTCCTTTATATTCTTTATTTCATCCTATTGTATTTATTCAGTGTATTTTCATTTCGAATCAATCTGCAATGTCAATTAAGAAAATTATTATTCTTGAAGTCTTATGTATTTAATTAATTGGAATTTAATTAAGATTTATAAATTCCATATCATAATGTGTCTATATTGTATGCTATTATAATTGAGACATTTAGGGAATCATGGAAATAGATTATTTACTGGAATTGCTTACTCATAGATCAAGAATTTCAACTTGGGTTAATATATAAGAGCTTTATTGCAAGCCACCTAGCATTTTAAGAGTTTCAGCTACTTAACTGAGAAATCTCTAACATTTATTTAAAGACTCAGAATAAGACTAATCTTTGGGTGAATTTTCTTGTATATACTTTAGAGCATTATTATAGAGTAACTGTTTTGCTCCTAAGTTATTCCTGGAAAATGAAAGATATTTGTAAATACATCTGAAAGGGAATTTTTATGCTGCATGGTGTTGAGTTTTTGACTTTTTACTTTCAGTGTGGTCATTCAAGAGCCACTCATATAGTTTAGGAAAAACTATGAAGTGAAAACAAGTCGAAGTCTGTTTACTTTTTTGTTAGGGTAGGCTTTTGTAAATGTTCAGTATTTCTTCAAACTCCAAATTGTATTTCAGGGTGTCAGCATTTTAAATGTTTTATTCACTTCCCTATTTTTTATTCTTTCAAATAACTGAAACACACGTTTAGGCGTATAAGGAGAACCCTAGGCTGAGGCAAGAGAAGCCCCAAGTACAGAATGTAAGCAGGCGCCCCTCTCACACACGTGAGAACGAAAACCTGAACTTGTTAAGTTACCCTCTTACCCAAGATTTTTTATTTTTTAGAATTTCTGCTAGTGGCCAGTTTTTGTGTGTGCTCAAATAAAGTGTTATGACCGTTTTCTGTGTTCACTGATGAAGCCAGAATTTGTTTGTATCTGAAGTTATCTATCTCCCTCAAATATTTTAGAGGCTGTTATTAGCATTTTATTATGAAATTCTTGCTTTATACAGTAACTCAGCAAAAGATTGCTTCAAATAAACTTACAAACTATTTAAAAATAAAACTTTAGATATATCTGATTTTAAAGTCTTGTCTCTTGCATGAATTAAAGTTCAGTGTTATATCACTGAAGAGTATATAGTGCGTAACTGTGATGTTCTATCTCCATGGACATACCCTGACTTTCTTTTCTTCTCTGGGTGTCCCCTGCACTAATGAAGGGCTTTAAATGGAATCTTGGTGCCCATTTGTCCCAAACCTCAGTTTCAACTCCTTTCTGGACCTTAGCAAATCAGCTGTCCAGTTGCTGATCTTCACTACCCTAGATAGATAGTAGGCCTCAACTGCATATGCACAATGGTACTCCTGCTTCCTTCCTCCTTGTACCAAATCTACTTCTTCAGTCTTCACAACCCATTGCACATTCTTCTTTTCACTCTTAGCTGCACTGTTATCTAGACACACTGGCCTTACTCCTTTGACATGTCTTCCTAGTATCCTCTTTTCTGTAATCCTTAAACATAGTCTTCTCCCTAAGAACATGCCTGGCTATTTTTGACATTTTGTTCTTGTTTTAATTATTGCTACTTCAGATATTCCCTCCCTCCTCACAGTTCAAAGGAACCGCATTCATTCTATCATATTTAGCCTTATTCTCTTGGTTGTTAATTTGGTTGTGACATCTAGGTTGGGAAACCTCCTTTGATAAGGTTGACACTTAGTTCAGATGGCAGTAAGTTAGACTTATGTAGTTTAATTTCAGAAGCATTCATAGTTAGTTCATATAGTACAATTAAAATATTAAGTAAGCCTGCAAAGAAAAGTAGCATTGTGTTTACCATGGAACACTCATAAAGCAAATAATTCTGTCTTTCAGAATTTTAAAAACGATTTAGAAAAATATCTCATTGTCTTGTGACAAGGAATAAGTAGAACTTAATGGAAACAGCAAGAGCTGGGAATGTAGTTCAGGTAGAGTACTTGTCAGGAATACTTCAGGTCTGAGTTTCATTACCAGGACTACAAAACCATAAGAAAAGGCCTATGACAAAATAAAGTGAATATTTAAGTAGATCCTATAGAAATGCAAAATAAGACCAATATGTGATGATCTTTTATCCACTAACTTGACAATATGGAGAAAAATTGTTCACGTCCCATAATCAGAGTAGTTGGGAAATGGACATGCACTCCACTGCTGGCTCTTTCTTTTGGGAGGATAATTATACAACATGTTTTAAAAGTTAAGAATGTGAACACTGGTATTTCCCTCCTATAGGAATCTTTCTTGTAAAAATAAAAAATGTTTAAACAAATGTGTGTTGATATGCTAACTGTAACATTGTAATAGCAAATAATTGGAACAGATTTATTGTTTATCTACAGAAGAATGGTTATTAAAACTATTTTACATTCAGACCATGAAATACTGTGAAGCCCTTCAAAACAATGTAATAAAATTCATAAATGGCTTAGAAAGCTGTCCATGATGACAAATGTTAAGTTAAAAAGCAAATTGTGGAACCATGAAGACCATTCCAGAATTATAATAGGTTGTATTTCAAAATCAGGACATGTTGCATATACGACTTATGTTTGTATAAGAGTGTGTAAACATAATAAAACATGAAATGATACACACCAGGCTTTTAAAATGGTTTATTTCAGAGGCATAGTATAGACTGAGAATGAGGAAGACTATGGAACTTTGTATACTTCTTTTTGCCTTAGTGTAATGAGTGTGTTCCTTTTGAAAAACTAAAAAATATATATATCCAATGAATTTCTTTGGCTTTTTAAAAGAGCACATTAGAACATGGCCAGAGAAGACTGTTAAAGGATATGAGTTTATTAATTTTCTGTGAATAACTTAGCTGTTACTCTGGGTCTTTTTTCACAGTGCGAACCTCTAAAACATGCTTCAAATAATGACCTCTTTCTATGTGACACAACATGCCATGACTCTAAAGATGAATGAGAACATCTCAAGCAGGCAAAAGTTATGGCTTCAAGGAAAACGAGAAACAAACAGCCCAGAGCCAGTGAATTCCTAAGCAACTAGGAGTCTGTTTCCACACAGACAGCCTTAGTCATGGGCTCCGAGGGAGGAGGCTCTGCTGTCTCCTGAAAATCAGTTATATCAGCAGATTGTTTGGAGGCTCAGTGTGGTTCTGCTATGTCTGAGGCATCAGCAGCTAGAAGGGGAAGTGGTTTTGAAAGTACAGTCTGCCCCCCACTGGGGTACTTTCTAGCCCAGAGGATAGCACAGTTCCAGAAAACAGGTGACTAGGCAAGAATCTTGTGGGGTTGTTTGTTTTTGTATTCATTTTTGCCATGGTCATAAACAGTGATTATAATTTGGTATCAATTATATTGCAGTCTGCATTCTACTAAGCAGACATTCATATGTATTCTTATATTTCATCAAAAGACTTCCAAATGTCCAGAAAAATTATCCTTTTATGCATCTTCAAAATTTTAAAACCGCCTTAGTATTAATGTGAACTTAAACTTACTAAATATCCAAAAGGCCACAGTTAAGGCTTTGTACAAAAGTACTTTGCAGACAATGTAAATATGTACTAATGAAATGTAAAATATGAAAAAAATAATAGTTGCAATACAGGGGTGTTTAAATTATGAAAAAATTAGGTTGTACATATTAAATTTGTTTGAATTAAAAATAAATGTGTATTTGTATGTATGTATGAGTGTATGTTAATATTTAAATCAGGATCAGAATGTTCCAAAAGCTGTCTAGAGCTTTTTCCATTCCAGACCTCAGGATAAACAAATAAAACCTAGACAGTTTTACATAGATATTTTTGAAGACTTTTTCCAGATAATTTCCTTAATGTACAACTGGATGACCTGACTTTGATAAAGTTAAATATGAAATTCTGCATGAGCAGCTGTAAAATCAATGGTTTAAAGATGGGAGGGAGTGACTTAAACTTGATACCACAGTGACAATCACCAAGCCACTATCCAGCATGACTGGGACATTAATGAAACTGACACTGTTTAGAGAATAATAGTAAAGATAATAAGAATAGCAATAGCAATAATAATAATAATAATAATAATAATAATAAGCCAACTGAGAGAAATGGCACTTTTAGTAGTGAGGTCAGTAAGAATAAGATGCGGTCTTTAGATACATGAAGGGTGGTCATTTGGAAGTGCTAACATTTATTTTAAAGAACTAAGCCAAGACTAATGAGACGATATTATTAAGTACCAAGAAGCTGTCCTAGTAATTGGCTGCTC